GAATAGTTTCATGTATGTAGCTTGGCTGTTTTATTTTAAATATAAAAATATAAATTTCTAATGATCTGTTTGTTTAATACTTAAACTTGATATAAATTGTATGGTTTGGGATAGGGATTTCTTTTTATTTTTTTACAATGAATAAAATTATTTATAACTAAGCTCATTAGCTTTTTTATAAAACTGAGCTAAAAATAGTTTTTCACACTTGTTAGCACAATTTCAGTTGCCAGTTAATGTGCGGTACTACAATAATGTGATAATCTTGTGTTTAAGCTCTCAATCCGCTGTTTATATTTGAGAAGCCGAAGTGAACCTTGACACTGAGGCCTGTCATTCAATCCTCGCCTGGACATTTGACACTTTTCCTTTAAAAACTTGCCTAGAAACAATATGGATACCTGAAATTCCATGACAAACAAGAGACATAATTTCCTGTTCTTAAAAAGTTATAATGCATATGTGAAAGTCGTGGATGATGTTTTAGGTTTCATTTAGCCAAAACCTGCTCGCACTAACAGTCACATTGAGAATGCTTGAGCATTTGATGGAAAGAATAAAAAAAAACTGTTCAAAGTTGCACAATTGACGCTATGGTGGAAAATCAGTGTGGCTGAAGCAGTCCTGGTCTGCTGCCCAGAGTGCACAGGTTGGAGGGGATCTCACATTTCCCTTCCCTGACTGAACAGAGCCTGGTGTATCACTCCACTCACCCATGACCATCCGTCCTTCCTTTCCTCCTCCTTTTGCCCCAAGCTCCGTTACTCTCCCCGGTATCCTTCTATCAATACAAAGGAAACACTTCAGCTTTTACGCTTTGGTGAATCAATGTTCCATTGGCCGTCGAGCAATTTTCAAACGTTGCGTATTAATTGAACAAGACCTCTTTCAACACTCTCGTCAACCACGGACGAGGTGAAAACTTGTCGATTAATAACAGTGCACGTACACATGATTTTTATAATGGGTCACGATCGAGCGGCTTTGAAAGTGCAAAGCTACGAGGCGTGCGGGGAATACTTGGATCCTTTCCCAGCAGACCAGGCACAATGTTTTCCCTGCGGTCTCGTACTGCATGTCTGACGCTTTTACACCGCTATGTCAATACTCGCACCACTATCTCCTTGATCAGCCCGCCAGTGGGTAAAATATACACTAGTGTTTTTGTCAGCCGGGTGGAAGTTATTGACAGGCCGAGGCCTTCGAGGCTCGCACTATTTTTATTACGAGTGCCAATACGGTTTGGCTGAAAATGCCGAACAGATGGCGAAGGTTGCGGTGGATATCAAAATGTTTACGGCTGGAAGTAAACATGGCCTGGTTTGAAAAAGAAAAGTCAGATTCCATTTGTCCGTACGGCAGATAGGGCCCCGCCACTCTGCTTTGGGATAAAATATACAGTTGTCAGAAAATATTAACTAATGAAGGGGTGGTTGGGAAGAGGGGTGGATTGGGAGCGGAGTGACTGGTCAGTTATCAGCTACGTTAATCTCCTCTCGGGCTAGTGTGGAACAGACAAAATACAGAGGCCTGACTGACTGACAGTGGCTTGCTGGCCTGAAGGCGCTGACGGCTAGACTCTTATCTGAGCCAAGAGAATGGAGTTGGAGAGAGAGAGATGGTGGAAACACGAAAGAGAGGCAGATGTTCAGTATCCAGTTCTACTCCATTTCATCTAATTGAGTCGGTTGTAAGATCCCTTCCAATAAAGAGCTGTGGCAGTACTACGGTGCAGTGAGAATGCCATGGTGTCTTATTTTATATAAGTATGGGGTTGGTTAAGAGATTTTTAAAAATGTTTTTGAAAGAATTTTCTTATGTTCGCGAAGGCTGCATTTCTTTGATCAAAAATACAGTAAAAACTGTAATATTGTGAAAAATTATTGCAATTTAGAATTGTTTTCTATTTGAATACATTTTAAAATGTAATTTATTCCTGTGATGCAAAGTTGAATTTTCTGCATCGTTACTCCAGTCATCAGTGTCACATGGTTCTTCAAAAATCATTCTAATATGCTGTTGTTTCAAAAAACTTTTATTTTTATTATTATCAGTGCTGATAACGGTTATTGCTGCTTAATTTTTTTTTGTGGAAACCGTGATACATTTTTTTGAGGATTCTTTAATGAATAGTAAGTATTTATTTTGAAATGTTTTATTAAAATGTCACTTTTGATCTATTTAAAGGCACAATATGTAATTTTCGCCGCTAGAGGGCACGCATTCGAAATAAACAAAGAGGTAAAGGCGTAGTTTGATGACGCCGTGACTGAGTGTGGAATCATGGGAGTTGTCGTCTTCATCCCCACAGCCGATGCAATCCGACGGGTCTCGGGCAGAAATCATGTTCATGGATGAGCTAATGATTTATTAATGTAGTAGAATGAAGCAGGGTGAGGCTGAAAGCCGTCGAAGTGAAACGAGGCCGCTGAACGAGCACGACACGCGGCTCGAAAGCAGCGGAGCTTTTATTATGCCACAGTCGACCGATTCAGCTCCTTCCGGTCGTGCGTATGTGGGGTAAAGCAGCGGAGCTTTTATTATGCCACAGTCGACCGATTCAGCTCCTTCCGGTCGTGCGTATGTGGGGTAAAGCAGCGGAGCTTTTATTATGCCACAGTCGACCGATTCAGCTCCTTCCGGTCGTGCGTATGTGGGGTAAAGCAGCGGAGCTTTTATTATGCCACAGTC